GAGAACGCACAAAGCTAAACGTTTGCGTAAATGTTTTTATTGATCATAGAATTATTTAGCTCATATAACTTTTACCTTTTCTAAAAATAAATCTTGTATTTTTCGTGGAATTTTGAATTTCTGGCTAGATTAACTATCGGTATATCGAAGTTTAGTGTAGAACAATAAATATACTGTAAATTTCTATATATCAAATACATTAAATGTATGACCAGATCACGATCTAATCGCAGAGAGATGTAGAAAGTATATTTTGACGTTACGAGTATCTATCCGAGACTCTTCATCATTGCGTTTGGAATTATTTTCATACTCCAGGGCAGTAAAAGATTGTGTATAAACATCAATGAATATTGGTGATCACATAGTAATCAGCGTAAAATTTCTAGAGAATATAAACAGTACTTCTTATTATGTACAGATCAAGTTGACTGATGTCCATGTCTCAGCTAAGTCGAATGTAATTGAATATCTCAATTTATAAATTTCTATATATCAAATACATTAAATGTATGACCAGATCAATTTTCTACTCTTCATCATTGCGTTTGGAATTATTTTCATACTATTAGTATATTAGACCCACTATACTAGACAGTTAACGGTTTGGGTGTTTCCAGACGAAGAGCTAAATGCAAAATTAAGCCGTATCTTTCATCCAGTGCATCACAATTATGATTTATTGAACTGTAACATCATGTATAAACCACTTTAAAATCACTCAGCGATCTATATAAAAAAAAAAAACTATTCGGAGTTTTCTGTATAATAGGGTCTGGAACATAGATATCTGCAGAAGAAGTAAGAGAGACCGATATAGTCTGAAAGATTTGCTAGCTCAAATGACAATAGACTTGTCACGTAGTTTAACTGATAAGTAATGGAGAAGAAAAGATCTCACAATGGCGACTCACAAAAAAAAAAATACAGGTAAGTACAATGTGGGGCGCCAACCTGTCCTCAAGTATTGCAGAAATCAGGAGCTGGAGCGGGATAAACAAGGTTCGTGAACGATAAATAGATAAAATAATAAAAATAATCTCTATTTACAGATGAATAGACTGGATAGTCCGAGAAGAAAGTTAATTCGTCTCCGCAGGTTATTAGGTGGATAATATTTATTCGGGAAATTTTATAAAATAAAACCACGTATTAATCCTGTTCCTTCCTTACGGAGCCATTTTTAATTATCCTTTTTTACTGAAGTTGTAAGTTTTTTTTTTTACAATAGTAATGTAAAGGAATACGAAACAGACAATATTTAACATTTGTTATTAATATTTTAACACAAATTATAACATTTTTAAAGTTTTGTACCTCTTTGTATCTTAAAAAATTTTGTTGCCTACTAACATTTACTTACGCACTGTAATCTTTGTTCTTATATGTTAATTTTTGTAGAAAACAACTATTTTGATGCCATCTATAACTTTAATATTATACATATTATGTAACTTAACTATTATTATGAAGATATCCTTTTTGTTACTTAAAATACCTAGGTAGTTAGGCATTAAATCATAATTATCAGTTTTACGGCAGTCAGTAACGTCACGTGTAACCACGTAAGTAATCCTATTACGTCAGAACAATTGACGAATTTTATGGAATTCTTTTTACTCATATACATCGACTCAAGAAAGTCTCCCTTACGCTTGGAAAGAGAATGTAAAAGAACTGCCATGAGTGTATGAATTATGAAATAGCAATAGAATGACGCCATTGAACAAACGAACAAATAAATAACGTATCTTCGAATTCACGATGAATAATAGTGGCAGAGCTATTTAATTTGAACGGATAATGTAAACATAATGCTGAGCAAAGAAAAACTTAATTTTTATCAATCAATTAAAATTTATAGGGATGTCATGGTCTTTTTTAAATAAAATTATTGTGTAACTTTAAAATTGTATAAATTAAATTTTACTTATCTATCTATACTTATAATAAATCTATAGAGAGGTCAATTCTGTACATGAAATATATTTTCAAAATAACTATCAGGGGGTGATTAGTGATCGATACTGATGACAAAAATGCAATCAGTAAAATTTTTGTCTGTTTGTCTATCTGTCTGTATGTTCGTTATAAAAACAAAAACTACTCGACGGATTTTAACAAAACTTGGTACAATTATTCTTCATACTCCTGGGCAGGTTATAGTATAATTTTCATCACGCTACGATCAAAAGGAGCAGAGCACTGAATGGGAAATGTTGGGAAAACGGGAGAAGTTACTCCATTGTTAAGCTTCAGTATACAATAAAAAGAATCAGGTATTATGAAAATGATGTTCTTAAATAGTAATATTTTTTATAGTAAATTTAAAAAACTTATATTTAGATAATAGACGTCGTAAATGTCAAAAATAGACATAAAATTATAAAATTCGTTAGAAAGTTAGAATCTCTTTCTATGGAAACTATCGTGCCGAATTCCTGGTGTATTCATCACGATGGGCTAAGTAACGTGCCCTTTCATCTCACCTATCATCCCTCACTGGTGCCTTGCCAAAGTATACCGTTAGCGCAGGCGTACCATTCCATTGTCATCCATTAAAAAAAAGGACGTACGTCTCGCCACGCCGGGTGGTTGGTCTGTGACCATAAACAAAAATATTTAAGTATTTCATTACAATTATATTTCGATATTAATTTAAGCTGTATATATCATCATTAGGTATTATTGTTCTGGTTCTCTTTTGGCTTGGCGCCGACTTCAAACAGATCAATAGGTAGTACATACTATAATAATATTTTATATAAATTAATAAGTAATAGGTTTATTAATAGATAATCTTTTTTTTTTTTCGAAGTTTTTTTAATTTTTTTTTTAAGTTTATACTATTTGATAGAATCTTGGTTCCATTTAAATACTTGTATTAAGATAACTGTATGATTGCGTCTTTCATGTTTGTACATACTAGCGTTACTCCACGCCTTCACCCATGTGAATTAGATATTTTTAGTCTGCTCCAATAAAACCATGCAAAGGTTATCAATTTTTTTAAAGTACCAGAGACGCGCTCTCTAAATATAATTAATTCCAAATCGAAATATTCAATTAATATGTGTTAATAACACGGAGAATTAATTAATTTTAAATCTTCGTGTTGTTAACACATATTTAGTACCTACATATCTGATTTTAATTGCTGACGTTTCGACGTGGATTCAGCACTACGCCGTTTTTCATGACAATAAGCGGCGTCTTGATACCTTTTAAACAATTGAAATTAGGAAACATACGAATAATTTTAATAAGGAAGATGGATATAGACTTTCAATAGCATGAAACCCAATGATTAATACACTTAAGACACGCGATAACTTGTGATAATACATATAGTGATAATGCGAAGGTTGGCCAAAAAAACTGCGCAGGTTGCCAGAAGAAAACGCGGCTCCGTTCAGTCCTGCTGTGATCACAACGTGGTGCAAGCCAAGAAAGGTCGGCAATAAAAATCAGCTATGTACTATTTATCTAAAATCACGTCTGGAACCAAAACCAAACCAAACTAAACTATAACCAAAAATCTACTTGTTAATTTTAATATTTTTAACTTCTAAAACTTCCATATAAACTTTCATTCCTTAATTTACTTTCGTTTTGTATTTTTATTACAATTAGAATGTAACTATGTACTTCTTAGATTTTACAAATGTGTTACTTCCTAAGTTACTTCTTGGCGCTTTAACGGCACAAAATATTGTACAATATACGTCATAAAAATATTATTATGAAACGTATATACCAAATTTCATATTATACACATATTACTATGAAATTGTAAATAGACGATGTCTATAGATATATATTAACTACTAGCTGTTGCCCGCGTCTTCGTCCGCGTTTCCGTTGTTTTTCGTAAATTAAGTAGCATAATGTCCTTCCTCACGGTTCAGTGGTTTTGATGTAACAGACACATTTCCCTTCACTGCTCTTCTCCTATTGATCGTAGCGTGATGAAAAGTATACAGAATACTATAACCTGCCCAGGAGTATGAAGAATAATTGTACTAAATTTCGTTAAAATCCGTCGAGTAGTTTTTGTTTCTATAACTAACATACAGACAGACAAAAATTTTACTGATTGCATTTTTGGCCTCAGTATCGATCACTAATCACCCCCTGATACTTATTTTGGAAATATATTTCATGTACAGAATTGACCTCTCTACAGATTTATTATAAGTATAGATTAACTCTGAACGAAACCATGTCGCATGCTGCAAAATACCAAATAAATAGTATAAAATTATTAAGCGACAAGATGTGACTTATAGTGTCGTAAGTTAACAATAAACTATTTTAATGATTTAAATATTAAACAACAAACTAGATAGCGATATGTGTTTATACCGTCCAAAGTGTTGAGCGTGTTAAACCAGTTATTTTAGGTATTTATTTTCAAGACTGATTTTTATTGAAAGTAGTGACATTTGTGTTATAATTAAGTGCACTCACAAAGACTCGTAAAATTTCATAATTACTGTTACATATTTATTGATACATATATAAAATACTTATTGTTCCTTGTAAAGGGTTAAGAAAAATTTATGAATGGTTAAGTGGTTTCCCATTTCTATAATCTACGCGTAGTATGAGGCAAAATCTAGTGTATTTATAAAGCAAAAAAATATTTATAAATTATATATTCTGTCTTACTAATATTTTTTTCTCATATAAATATGTTTTTTAAATGTAAAATGTTTATAAAATTTTGTATTAAGCACTTCGTAGGTTTTGATATGGGGCAACCGTATTATCTATTACGTACTTTTTCGTTTTAATAGGTATCGTTCCTACTTTAACATTACCTCTTATAATTACGTAGATACCTATCTATACAAGTTACAAAATATTATATTTGTTTTATTAGGTACGTATTTATGTATCTACAATTTATTACATAAATACCGAATTTCACATTAGTGACGGCTTATAAAGTAGGTAGGTATCTACGCAATATATACCTAGTTATTTATATTACTTACTTGTCATTTTCCATCGATCCTTTCCGAGACGAATCAAGAATCAAATACTGTAATGATGTGATCTGAGCTAGCTAGCAGTCCTTAGCCATCTCAATTTGATCTTCCCTGCCCTCCGCTCCACTATACACACCGCCGCGCAGGGATGCCCTGCGGTCATTGGTTACTCATACATCTTGCTAAACCTGTACCCGATCTTCTAAACCAAATTTGTTTACATAATGATATTTACCACGACACTCCATTTAACTCACTATTTAAAACTATGTAATTTGTAAGCAAGAAAATACTTTGATTTTTTAGATACCTACTAATTTTGTAAGATCGCAAATATATTTACGGGCTTTAGTGATAAAATATGTAACCAATAAACTACTGGTGTTCATTTCTTTCGCACAATCCGTTCTGTCTATTGTGAAACTTCAGTGTTGCCAACTCTTAAAAATATTTACCCCTATCCACATGTCCAAATATTCCTGAAATTACAATATTTTTTTTTAATATTCAGTAACGTATGTGGCATTGAGGTTTCTATTACCTATACTGAATGTTTTTTTTTTTAAGTTTTTACTCTAAAACCTAGTGTTCTAGTGTATAACCTCCTAATCACTAGATGTTAGAACCAAATAACCTTTAAATATAAAATTAAATAATCCTAACATGTAGATAGTTTGTATTTCTTTCCATTATTACTATAGATTCTAAGTAGATAAATCTAAATAAGCTACATTTTATGACACAATAATTGTTTAAAAAGTGCAATATTTTCTCCTTAAATTAGGAAGGAAATCCCTAAGTAAGAAACACTGATATTTTAGGTAAACTAATAATCCAATCACTATGATAAGTAGCATTCGTGATATGTTCGATTCTACCATACGTAGTAAATACTCATAATAAAGCTAAGGCCCATCTGATTAAAAATTAAAACCGTCGCCTATATATATACATATACTAGCTTTCGCCCGCGGCTTCGCTCGCGTGGATCTTGGTTATAGCAATATGCAATTTTTGGAAATAGTAATATTTTAATTTCGCCATAACTTCAAAACAAAACATCCAATTTTAATCATTCAAAGACCAAATATTATCTACATAAACTGTACTTAGTGATGAAATAATTTATTTTGATAAGGATTAATGGCATGAGTAAAATAAATGCGTTTAAATGTAAAAGAAAAAATGGTTGTTGTGCCTCACTCGACATAGATAGGTATAGTGTGTCGCGGACTTTTTTGTAGATATTTATAAGATCTACAATTAATTAGAACATTTTATGGTTCTATCTTTTATAGTTTAGACAGCGTTCGTAAAATAAGTAACTTTTCTGGTTGATTTTTTACACCTTGTGTCCGAAAAACCCAAATATTTTACGGAACCCTATTTTTTTCCAAAATAAAATTTTGCTTATGTTACTCGTGGATAATGTAGCTTTCGAATGGTGAAAGAATTTTTAAAAACGGTCCAGTAGTTTTTGAGCCTATTCATTACAACCAAACAAACAAAGTTTTCCTCTTTATAATATTAGTGTATATATATATGGTTTCTAAGGCCAATCACGTGATTACACTGGAAAACCATCCTGATAAATACGTCACGAGCTAACTTCGTACTCACTAAACCGTAATTAGTTCCTGATTAATTTATAGTGATGATAGGCCAAATGATTTGACTTCATTCACGACTATAATCTCTCACTGATACCAACGTAAAACATCCTAATTCTCAATTTATTCCAAATCCAATGAAACTAAAAAATAAAGTAATTGTACGTAGCATATAGAAATGCGGAGAAATAAGTTAAAAAAAAATCCACAATTGTTTTATCAACAACATAAACATCGATTAGGCGCAACTAGTAGTTAAATGTTAATGATGCTATCGCACCATTCTTCAGGGATTAGTTTATCATGCGACAATTTATTGAGGAAAAATTCTGCCGCTCGACATGTCATTCATCTTCTAATATTTCATAGTTACTTCCCTTATCTGACTTTTCACCTATATATTTTCTAAATACGCGACTACTACTCAACAGATGACATGGCTTTTACGCGTGGATGTTCTAATAACCATTTCCACCAAAATATAATGTACCTAACATTTCGCAAACACGACGTATAATTTGGTGTAAATAACTGTAAGTTTTTAAAACGCAAGTACTTTATACTAAGTCAGAACAATTTTTTTTTCTTTTTATTCATATAAGAACATTAGATTTTTCTAATCTTATTCATAGTCTTATGGATATTCCATATACCTGAAAAAGGTAAAAGCCCTTAAAATAATATTAAAAAAAAAACTATTTTATATAAATTAAAATTTTAAATTAAAACAAAACCAGTAAATTCACTCACATTAAATATTTATTACGGTCTACAAATGATCGATACTACTAGTTACGAGAAGTAAACAATTAATTTGTTACCAGTGCATTATTTTTCAGTAATCATATTTAACAAAGAACAGGTAAAAAAAAATATTTTATACTCGTGAATATACTAATATATAATATGATTATAATAATATTGAAAAGTGTTACATTATTTTAATAAAATAAGTAGATAAAATCAATCTAGAGACATTCCAGCGTCACCGTCCTTTTTATTATTTTTATCATCTTTGGACTTGTCATCTTTCTTCTTTTCATTTGCTTCGTTAGACTTGCTACTATCCGACGCATTCGATGTATTTTCAAGAGCTTTAAAAAATGCTTGCATATCGCCAGAATTGGCAGCAGATACAACTTCAGGAGAAAGACCAAACTGGGACATTACGGGCCCCATTTGGCCAGAAGTCAATGCCGATGAAAATTGGTTTGCCGCCTGTAATAAACAATAAAACGTTATGTATTGGCAATTGAAATAAAATCTATCTCAAAATTCAGTCTCCCATCACCACAACTCCAATAGTTTGAAGAGCATAATAATATTTAAATTCTATATAGGCTTAATAATATAGGCTTTGCATTTTAAATACCTAATATTTTTTAATCATGCAAAATAAAGTAAATATTTTATTAACCCCTTTGCAAAAAAAAAGAAATAGACATTTAATATAGTAAAGTGTTCTATACAGTAATATTATAAAAAAATAAAAATATTAACAAATTTTATTTAATATTGTACAAGTTGATTTTTAATCACACAATGTTCGCAATATTGATTTACCAGTATTATATATATTAGACAAAAAGTTATTTTGGAATAAAGAACAAAAGGTCTAAATACAATATCAAACCTTTTGATGGCAATTAAATATTTCATAAATAGAAAATACATTGTTCTACATTCTATCATACTTAAAAAGTTTCCATTTTACCAAGTAGATATTTGGTACACGGTCAAAAGTAAACCATCCCAAATTTTAAAAGAACAGGGGTGTGAAAGGCGGAATACAATTGAAGCGCGACCAGAGAAGCGGGTGCGCAATATATAAGGGTTCACCTGAGCGAACTGCGGTGAGAGCAGGGTGGTCCTTACATCGTCCTGGGTGCCTGCTGGTGGCGCGGGCGGCAGGTGCGGGGCGAGGCGCTGTGCGTTGGCCGGCGCCGTGGCCGCCGCCACCGCCTCGGGCGCCGCCAGCGCCGCCCCCAGGTCCACGCGGGGGCCGCCCGCGCCCGTAGCGCCCGCAGCGCCCGCAGCGCCAGCCGTCGCGGCTCCCGCTCCGCCCGCGGCGCTCGCGGCTCCCGCACCTCCTTCGCCTTCTGGCGGCGCGTTTCCGAGCCCCGAGAAGTAGCGTTGCAAATCCGATAAGAATATTTGGCCACCTAAATATAGTTTTCAACTTCAGGAATTGAATTAAAGATAACTTGGACAATAAAAAAAAAAAATTATTTCATTACAATAAATGTCTTAGAAAATCATTAATGCAACAAGTATAAATTCAATTTAATATACAAGACTACTGGTACTAACATTGAATCCATAGATATAATATGTTCTAGCGAAACAAAGGTTTATAATAGCTAGATCAGTTTTTATAAAAAAAATATAAACTTTAAACTATACAGACTTTTGGCCAAAGAATAGAAAAAAAGCACTATAATGGGCAACAATATTATATATGGAATATTAAAAAAAATAGAGTTAAAATAATACTAAAAGAGGATTTATTTCAGATTCAGTCATTGCACAGTCTTTCAAAAAAATATTTACTAAGTATTTTATTAACTGAGCCCAGGACAATACATTTCTGAAAAATATTTTCTTCAAATACATAGCTTTGATTAATTAGTCTTAGAAATTAATTCCTCTTTATATACTGTATTCGCCTTGCAGTAACATAATGAATAAGGATGTACTCACTTCGAGGTTGAGCAGCGTTCGCCGTATTGGGTGGCGTGGCAGTTGGTGCAGGTGTATCCCGTGTACGCAATGGGGTCCGAGCAGTCGCTTCTGTCGAGCGTGGGGCGCTACCGCCGCGGGAACTACTGCCACTGCCTGCCGATGGACGCGTGCTTGTGTTACCGCCACTACTGTTGCCACTGTTACCGCTGTTGTTGCTGTAATTACATGTTTTGTAAATTATTGCACACTTACTTTTAAATTTTCACAGTATGCTTATGTTAGGCAAAGGTCTCTTTCAACTGCTACCATTAGTTAATCTTTGGCCAAATATAACTTAAAAATAATTTATTAATAATATTTTGTAATAGACAGAACCATCACAAAATTTTGAATAAGTCAAGAAATACTATGCTTCCATGAAAATATCATGAAATCCTAAAAAAAATAAAGTTTTAAATAAATTTTAGTTTTAGTTTAGTTAAAAATGAAAGGTTGAACTTGTGTCTTAAATTGGTTTTTTGTTGGCCCTTTTAAATTATCATTTAGAAATTACATTTTTTAGTTCAAAAGTTTCATAAACACATTATATTTTAATGAAATAGCTACCAGTTTAACATTTGTATAATTCAGTCCACAAATTTCAGCACCATTTAAGATCTTTAATCATTAATTTACACATAAGTTAAACCAGTACCTATTATATGAAGATATAAAATAAGGAAACAAGTGCACAAATATTTATCTCACAATTTATAATTCTGTCCGCTAAAAAACAGACTTCAATCATGGCAAAACAATTTATTTTCTTTCAAAAGTTAAACTACTGGACCAAATTGATAGTTTCTATGGGATCTATCTGAAAACACATACATTCACATAAAGAATATTTTTCTGAATCCGTTTATAAAACATGGAATTAAGAGGTAACTAAAATAAAAAAAAAATACAACCAATTTATAACTTCTATTTTTCAAGTCAATTGAAAATACAACAGAACTTACCCCACTGAACCCAGGATAGAAGATAAACCACCAATTTGACCAACTCCACCAAAAAGTTGCATCAACTGCTGCTGTGACATGTTATTAAAGAAATTCTGAATTTCCCCTTCCTGATTTCCACCTCCACCACCACTACGGCCACCAGATGTTGGAGGGTTATTTAATGCTTCATTAATGCGGCGGCAGTATTCTTCATCTTTATCAGTTTTAGGTTCCTAAAAATTTCAAAAGCAATTAAGCTATTAAAATTATACAATGATGAATGATAAATATTTTTTTGTTTTATATAGAAATAAGAAATACAAACCTGCAACCAGAAAAAGTATTTCTTTGAAAACGACTTGAACTTCAACACATACACACGGCCAGTGGTACATTCATTCACTCTGACAAACTCACAATCGTCAGGGAAAATAAGTAGATCATCCTCCACTTCTCCTGTAGTACGATCTTTCCAGCAAAAATGCATCAAGGAATCTTCACCTTGATAGACATACAGTAACCCCTTCCTCTTATCAGGGTGAACCATTCTACCTTTTAGAGTCATTCTACCGGCACGAAACTCGACCAAATGTTTATTTCCACCTGAGCTGCCACCGAGCCCAGATGTATTACCAAATAATGCTGTAGCCGACATTGTTCCGAGAGATACTGTAAAAATAAAAATTAAAGTAAGCAACAAAATTGAAAGCCACTACGTAAGGAGCATTGGAATAAAACTAGCAATTTTAATACACGTAGATACCTGTGCAATTGTTTTAGTTCTCTGTTGGTATTGGCAAGGATGATTGAATAATATTATATCTTTCTTGTATTCCTTTGTTATAAGTAGGTATACAAGAGTCGGTGTTTAAAATTGTAGTGAATATATTTAGGGGCACAGTTCATAAAAAAATTTAGAAAACTACTATAAAGTCTTGTTTGGCTTTATTATATTACTGAAGAAATACAAGATGATTGCATTTAATTGATAATAAGTACTTAAAATATTAACTATTGCAATAAACAAACTCACAATTTACGATTTCAATACACGATGATGATGGAATTATTTGGTTAGGAACGATATGACGAAACACATTTTTGCCACAGAGTAGGTATCAAATCGGGACCATTGGTACAATAGATTATTATTTTATCCTGGTACCGTAGAAAAAGAATATGATATAAAGATAAAAATTGATTAGCAGTGTAAAAGAGAATAAACTAAATTTCAAATTTAGTAACTGTGTCATTAGACTTATAATTTAATAAATAGATTAATTTTGTCGCGTATTACTGGCTATTATAATACACCTATTATATTTTTCTATCTTTTTTTGTTTTATATTTCTCTTCTGTCTTTATGTTTTCCTACCGATGAAGAGGAGATAAAAGAGAATTACAATATCAAGCATTTTAATTATTTACCCATTTCTCTTAACTTTTTTTAAAAGAGTTATTTATGTAACGAATATTTTTTGGTATACAGGTATTATCCTTAATCTATGTTCATGCCAGTCCTAAATGTCAATCCCTTTCTATCTATTTATTTGTTTGTGGGCTACTTTCCATAGTGCATTTCTTTAGACATAATCTCTAATCTGTGCCATAGTGATTGATTCGGTGCTCTGTATCACTTCATTCAATTCGACTTGATTCGCTCATTTTTATATTCTTATCATATCTACATATTGAAGAATAGTTTCAATATATTGGATTTTCTAATAATTGTTAACTGCCTAAATTGATTTTGAGATATATTTACATAAACAAGACTGACGTGACTACGTACTTTTTAAACTAAAATGAGCGGCGTCCAGACAGGTAAACCAATTTTGTATACGTTGACCACAACATACATACACTTTGTTCTGCTTTTTTCTCTCATTTAATACCTACATTGTGTTAGAAATCCTTTATGTTCCTAATATATTATTATAATACAAATACCTAAATATTTCTTTACGTATTTTAATTATATTTTTTAATTTTACCAAACGGAAAAATGTTTATATATTGCTAATGTATAACTTATCTATCTACGTAAAGTGATCTCTAAAGACTTACAATAAGTAGATATATATTTACTTACTATATATTATGATTCATCATCTGTACTTCATAAAAGTAGTTTTGAGTCAATATGTATAACCTTAGTAAATGATGTTCAATGGCATTTTTTATTATTTAACTTTACTATTATTATTTTGTATCTACTTTTTTTTATCTACAACTTCAGACATGTAAAATTATAATTTTCTATCAATATAATGGGTGAAAAATTACAATTCTAGGGCAAAAAAAAATATTTAATATATAAACTGTTCACAATTTTCACATTCACAATAATATGTTAGCTGTCCAAATCACATAAAGTTTAAAATATTCCTTTCTTAGAAATATAAAGTGCTGTATCTTTTAAACTATATTATTAAAAACATAAGTTTCATAATAATTTTATTCACATACACTTTTATGTAATCTCATATTCCGTTGAAAGTAGCAATAGCAGAGTTTCCTGCCTGTTCTTCTCTACTGAAATTACATTTAAAAGTGGGTGGTAGATTTATATAAAAATGGCAATTAGAAAATGCTATTAATAAAATTTACTTGAATAAAAATTATTTTTATTTTAATTAAAAAAATGTTCTTACTTAAATTATTTGGAAGAAAGTGGTCTTATAAGATTTTATGTTTACTGTAAGTTTTCTTAGTTACTTGGAAGTCATTATTTATTGCATGGAATAAATAAGTAAAATATATTATAAATATAATACATAATAATACTGAACTAGTTTATACATAATAATTGCTTATGAACTAATTTTATGTTTTATATATTTCATGTTGTTTTTATACTTTTGCACAATAAAATTGACAAAAATTAGATTAACTGTGTTCATACATATCTTATTTTGGCCATTAATGCATTTATAAAGCCCTCTGTAAAGTTTTATACTGACATAGCTTTAAACTGATCTTTCTTGGCACATTAAATGTAAATTTATTTACCTTTCTACATGTCTTAATTAGTAGGTAGTAAATAATATAACAAAATATGTTACCACCTTATTTAATATTTCTAAACTTCATGTTATATATTCCCTTCAAAGCCATTATTTCTAAAAAGTACTTAACATTATTTTTATATTAGGTATTTGATAGGTGTATTGGCTATAATAAAAATATTTGTAATTAACATAAATATATATAATTTAGTTACATAACTGAACTGTGCTGCAAAGAGAAACTGAACACCCTGGTGCCCTATTTTCAACCGACTTCAAAAAGATGTTCACCATTCAGTTGTATTTTTTTTTTTATGGTTGTATGTTGTTACTTTATAATAAGAAGGAAACTGTATAAAAGTCATCTGTGTGGCTAGCTCTGACCTTTTTATGTTCTGCTCCTACTCTGTGCAGCTGTATTTTCTTGTGTTTCAGTTTAAAAGATGGGATACGGCAGTGAAATTATATTGTACCTTAGTTCTTGGGTATGTGAATAAGGAGTGCATCATAGTATATTCTATGATTGCCATTGTGTCTTTAATTTTGTATTTAATTTTAACAAGCAGTAAAGTAGAACTAGACTTTTAAAGTCTTTGCCAGAGATCTGTGTATTTGGAGAAACCAACAGACAAAGTTGATGAGAGAAGAAATTGTTAGTAATTGTGATTGGTAACATTATTGGTAGCATATCAGGTCGACTTCCTTGCGGTTTCCCCTACAAAATATCCTGGTTAAATTGTTCCAATTGTCATCAGGGGGCCAACTGGCCTACTTCCATCATCACCTATCATCCTTTGCTAGTTTCTCGCCAGAGCAAAATAATAGCCATATAGGGATTACCATTCCATTATCATCCATTAAAAAAAACAGACAGTTTTGAAAACCTATAGCAATTATTTCCGCCACATCTGATATTTCGAAAAAGATTATAGCAGTACTTGTGATAGTGGGTGAAAAGCTGGTGGTGGTTTCTATAAGTACCATTTATGGATTATTCATCAGAAGCTCTTTAATTTTGTTATTCAAAATAATATTACATGCAAACTTAATTATTTAGGTACATTAGGGCAGATTATATACGTAACGAAAGTGTTTAATCTGCTATTAATTTATTTTTGTTGACTATGAGACGCCTTTGATTCAGTTAAGATGTAGGCGTTGTGATAGTCACTTTAGCAGTACTAAATTGACTGCCACTTTATCGATATGATTATAATTACAGTGTTATAACACTAAAAGAAAAGAACACCCCACATGTGATAATCGGAAGACAAAAAAGTCACTAGCACATTATGAACAAGATTGATCAGAGAAAGAGAGAGATAGAATCCACTGAAGGAAGCCTTTGTTTCTAAGGAACAAGATACTGATTTGAAAAATTTAAAATAAATGTAGAATTGATTTTACTCTATTTTCCTAAATAAAGGCTTTGAAAAGAAATGTAACTACAGTAAAGCTGCTATATCTATCTGAGTACAGCACCAGGATACGAAAGGCATTTCGGTGCAGAAAGATCTAAAACAAGATTATATCTTTCAAATACTTAACTGCTGTATTGTAAGGCATTTTAAAACTCCTGAACTAGAAAGTATACGACATATATATCAATAGCAAATATATCTTCCTCTTTTATTTATCAACGACATAGTTATCATAGCAGAATTTGTGGCGGATATTAAAACTATGCTTCATGACCTTATTAGCGTTTCCAATCTCAACAGATAGGTCTAAGGTGAACACGAACAGGATTATAAGCCTGTTTTAAGCCTATTGGCAGTAAAGAAGGTTCAGCAAGGCGGAATTAACTGATGAATGGTGATTGTTGTTAAATAGTGAAATGTCGTACTATGTAATACTTATTGTTATTTATCAAACTCGTACTATACATACATTTAAACATTAAAGGTAAGGTTGAGTCGCCTTGATAAACCTTGATAAGCATAGATATTAAACTACTAGTCGAATTTACAGCATATCTAAATTGATTTGCCGTATTACACAAAGATGAATCATTAAAGAAATTATGACAATGATTATAGAATGCATTGACCAAGCGAGTGGATTTTTTTTAATTAAGACTAGCTTTTCCCCCGCTACTTCGTATTCGTGGATTTTAGAGGTAGGGAAACAATGAAATAGACTACTTCTGAATAGAGTTACAAGATAAAAGATACACCAGATTTTAAGTTGGACCTTCAGGAACACAACTGAAAATCACATTCACTGTGGTACAGCAATTTTCGAGAGAAACTGAAACAAACTTACAGACGAACAGACATGCAGAATTTCTAAAAAAATATGGTCTTGGCTTTTATTGGTCTTTTTAAGTCCCCTTATATCAATTGACTTTAAATAAATGTGTACTGTGTGGACTGCCGTACAGTGAGCGTGGACTGTAGGGGCGTTGGTTCAGGCTGGAGTGAAACACAGGGATTAGTATTGTCCGGTATCTGAAGAGAGTATTTTCTTCTTGTCCTATTTCTTCTCGAGTGTAGTGTGTCGCTGCCCGGAAGCGAATGCCGCTCGACGGGAGGCGGCCTATCTTTATACCCGCCCGCTCGCACGATAACGTTTCCAACTCGCGTTAGCGAATCTGCGCGAGCGGGACGGGGCGAGAAATGAGCGAGACGTGTGTCTCTTCAGATCAAGTATAGAGTCTATATTTATTACGATTTACAATTCTTAATTCTATTTGTTGTTACAATTTCTATTTCTATTCGTGTATTCTTAAATCTATGTAAATCTATATAAAACAACAGAATACAAAAAACGATCAAACTAGAAACTTAACAACTACTATAACATTGCTATAATATCGCTATATACAATTGCCGCAGCTCTCATAGCTGAGTTAACTCGTGTTCGCGTCGCTCGATGTCGATGTGGGCAGTATGATCAGCTTCTTAGTGGGTTAAGTGGATTTGTTCGTCCGCACGTCGACCGCTCTAACCTCGCCGTCTGGTCCAGGGTAGGTCGCCACCACCACGCCTCGCGGCCACGTGTTGCGAGCAAGGTCCCA